GTTTGTTTATTTAAATCGGTAAATTAAAGTATATAAATGCAAGATAATATATGAGAGATTGATTATATATAACTGTCACAAAAATAAATGTTTGTAACTTTGTAATAACGTTAATCTAAGTACTAAGTCTAAAAACGATAGTCTAAATAAATACTATTTTTGGTTTAAATTTTTCTAATTCTCTTTTAGGTAGCATTGTTATTATTTTCATCTTCAGTACATATCTTTTTTTTTTTTTGTTATTGGTAGTGTGTCATGTGCAATTGGGTTATTGGTAGTATCATAGAGGGATTCATCATGCAATTAGATTATGGTGTATGAAGTTTTAGGTTTCTCTTATTGTGTATATGATTGAGATCTTAATTGTGCTATGAACTCTTTATCTTACAAGCACATGTTGATATTTGGTAGTGATAGTTTTCACCTACATGTTTCATGTGTTGTGAGACATCTAATTATAAATTAATTAAATGCATATATATTATTTTTTGTTGTAGCTACTAATTTATTTTTTAATTTAAGTAAGGAATAAGGGTCAAATAGGCCATCGAACTGCACCTAATAATGCAATTAGGCCATCGAACTTTAAAAAGTAACAATTAGCTCCCTGAACTAACTAATTCTATTCAATTAGTCCAGTTTGTAGGTTTTGGAGGTTATTAGCAGGTCACCCCTAATTTATAATATTTTTAAAAAATTATGATTTAAAATATTTATTTAAAATTAAAAAAAAAAAAAAGATACCGTCTCTGCCGGAGACGAAGAAACCTTCTTCGTCTCCGGCCATGGAGACGGAGTTAATTTCTTCGTCTCTAGCCGGAGACGAAGAAGGTTCCTTCGTCTCCGGCCAGAGACGAAGAAGTTAACTCCGTCTCCATGGCCGGAGACGAAGAAACTCTTCGTCTCCATGGCCGGAGACGAAGAGTCTCTTCGTCTCCGGCCATGGAGACGAAGATATTCTTCGTCTCCAGCCAGAGACGAAGAAGGTTTCTCCGTCTCCATGGTCGGAGACGAAGAAATCTTCTTCGTCACCGGCGTGTCAATCTGTTTTTTTTTTTTTTTAATTATTAATATTAAATAATTATTTTAAATAATAATTAAAAAATTTTTTGAAAAGGGGTAACTTGCTAACAACTTGGAAACCTACAAATTAGACTAATTGAATAGAATTTGTTAGTTCAGGGACTCAATTGTAGCTTTTTGAAGTTCGGTGACCTAATTGCATTTTTGAGTGCAGTTCGATGGCCTATTTGACCCTTATTCCTTTAAGTAATAAGAGCAATAATTATGAACATATAGTTCTGTAATTATGAACATAGAGTTGTGAACATAATTATGAACATATAGTTCTGTAATTATGAATATAGAGATTCAATAATTGTGAATATGAAATTAAAAAATTATGAATATATAGCTTTATAATTATAAACATATAATTCAGTAATTATGAACATAGAGTTCTGTAATTGTGAATATAGAGTTCAATAATTATGAATATGAAGTTCAAAAATTATGAATATATAGCTTTATAATTATGAACATATAGTTCAGTAATTATGAACATAGAACTGTGTCCACATTGCAAGGTGGACACAGTTCCACAGCATAACGATTGAATAAAGTGGCGTACATACTTTTCATCCACAATAATGAAATCATTGATTTAAAAAAAAAAATTCATTCGTTGTTGAGACAAATTGTTTTGAGAATTTGTCAATGACAATTGCTGTCATTAGATGATGATAATAAATAATTCAAAATATAAGGTTACAATAGATATTATTATAATAATATAGTAAAAATTAACTTACAAATTTCTTTAGAAGTTTTCATGCATTGATAAAAAGCATAATCGAAATATTAAGTTTTGTTCTCAATAATCAAAAGAAGATTAATTAAACGAAAAAAAAAAAAAACAACTCTAGATTCTATTGATTCGGACCAGCTGATCTGTTTCATACGAAAATTGAAATCTTCAGAAATGGGATAGTTCATCAAGCCACTAATATCTCGGGAGTTTGCAAGTGTTGGATTCAAAGCTGGTGTAAAAGACTACAAATTAACTTATTATACTCCCGAGTACAAAACCAAAGATACATACCGGTAGATTTTCACCTTGTTCCTACATGACCTGATCAATTCGATCAGGTACTCCAGCAATGGCACCGAAGATGAAATATAGAGTCCCTATATCCTTGTGGTTAGTGGAGAACAGCCATCGGACGAAGGCGAGCCCTGGAACGGAGAAGCGATTCTAAAAGAGCAGGTCACTTTTGAATGGACATCTGAGAGGAGAAGGAGGCACCTATTGTGAGGGAATGGTCTTTTGCAAGACTAATGGCTTAGAGAGAAAGCTTTCTCTTGATTCTTTTCCGATCGAGATGGATAGATCCTGTTCATTGATTAACGAAAATGCGCAAAAGCTCTATTTGCCTCTGCCATTCTAAGAGTTTCTTCCTTTTTGCGTATGGCATCGCCACTCCCTTTGGCGGACGGATTCAGAAGACAGAGCAGACCGAACAAGCAACGGCTTTCGTGAAAGCCAACAAGCAACGACCGAACTACCGGGAACTTCACGGCACGGCCAAAAAAAAAAAGAAAGAGCTTCGCTCGGTTGGCCTTCCTACGCTGATGAATGCGTCTTTTCTCTTCTCTGAAGTCTACAACAAACAAGTGGGAGAGGCTTTTGTATACCCCCACTGACTTCGTAAGCTTCGAAAATAAATTGACCCTAGCCGTTACTGAACTTAAATTTATTTTTTTTTTAATGAAAGAAAATCAAATGATTATCAAATTTCCTGATTTATAATCATTGAATGCTATGTATGTAGTCGGGCTAATTATTTGACCAAAGTTAATGTTAAATTTTAAATTTTATTTTTTAATACATTTTAACATATTCGTAGTATATGCTTAACAATTATGCTAACTCTAATTGGAATGAGGTTCAAACCTAAGACCTTTCTTATAGAAATTAATGAGTAAGTTAACAATAATAAATAGTTAACGAAATATTCCGTTAATAAAGTTTATACTAACGGAATTTAAGGTTATTTAAAGAAAGAAAATAATATAATAAAGCGTAAATAAGGAAAATCATTAAAAATACTAAAATCAAAATATTATACTAAAATCAAAATACTATGAACCATTCATTTTAAGAAACAAGTAGTACCAACTTTTTTTTTATTCCAGTTAAGGACCTAACATTATTGGCTCTTATTAGAATTGTATATATATATATATATATATATATATATATATATATATATATATATATATATATATATCTAAAAACATAATAAGTGTGAAAGAAAGTTATACCCCTCTGTTGGTCCCAAAAGAGGTAAGGTGAAAGTCTAGAGGGGGGGGGGGGGGGGGGGTGAATAGACTTTTCAAACTTTTTCGCACAGCACAACAATTGCTAAGCCAGAGATAAACCAAAACTCTTAACTAGATTGTTAGAGTATGGTGCACAGCGGAAATAAATAAACATAAAGTGTGTGAGAGATAGTGTGAGCAGTATATCTCGTGTAGAGCGAGTATGTAAAGAGCAGTAAGTAAAGAAAGCAGTAAAGAACACAAGACAATTATAGTGGTTCGCGAGGTGGTGTAATCCTCCTACTCCACTTGCTCTTATCTCCAAGAGCAATTCACTATATCTACCACTCCTTGGTTCCAAGATACAATGAATTTCCGTGATCTAGTGCTTTGATCACAAAGCCCGCACTAATCACGCCCAGTGACACCACACTGCTGCTTCGGGTTTCACGTCGCCGCGCTACTATCCCAGGATTTCACGACTCCGCGTTAATTTCCCCCCGTCTTCCACACTCCGGTAGAAACGTATCCCGTGATCTAGTGCTTTGATCACAAAGCCCGCACTAATCACGCCCAGTGCCTCCGACACTGCTGCTTCGGATCTCACAGCTCCGTGCTACTTTCCTCCCTTCTCTTGTTTTGCTCCAAAACAAGTGTTGTCTTGCTTCCAACTTCTGAGACTTTGTAGTTGATCTTCAATGATGCGCAGGTCTCTTTGATGAAGATAAAACACTCTGGAATGATTTCTCTTGAATGCTCTGAGTGTTTTCTCTCTTTGAGTGTATCAAGTAAAGCACTTGATTTTTATGCTCTGCTTTGCTCTGTTTAAGAACTCTCAGAATATTTTTCTCTTGAGGCTCACTGAGTTATTTTTCTTTTCTCACTTCTCACTTGAAGATTTTTGGTATGCTCTGTACCAAATGAGATTTTTGCTCTATGCTCTTTTAAGCTTAATTGCTCTATTCGATCTCCTTGATGAGTTCGGATTTTCTGCTCTCTTGTTCGTGATTTTCTCAACTGCTCTTCTTCTTCTTCAAGTCTTCATATCTTCATCATTTTATAGATGGTAATGAAAATCTGTCCGTTGGAAAGAGACGCTCTCATTTTTGAAATCTTGTATCTTTTTGTCAGAGATCTTATCTTATCTTCTGCAAAGATGTCAGAAAGGATAAGCTAGCCGTTTGATGGATCTTTATCTCCATGTAAATGAGCTCCCAAACTTCATCTGATATTTCTCTGGTTTAACGTTGAGTGGGAATATCTGGGTCTCTATTTTGGTGTAGAATGGCTTCTCTGATCAGCTCTAAAGTGGTCTTTGTATCTTTGGGATTTAAAAATATTCATTAATTTAATCCCATACTAGTTAAACTAGTATTTTTTCTTGTGAGAATATTTTTACTGTAAGTTCTTCTTCTTCGTCTTCATTCTCACGTCTGGGTGTTCTCAGACTTCAAATTGGTTTTGAACTTCCACCCAATTTGAATTTCTCCTTTGCAATTGACACCCAATTTCAATTGGCTTGTAATTGGCACCCAATTTGAATTTCTCCATTGTAATTGGCTCTCAATTGACTTTGACTTGCAATTGGCTCTCAATCTTCTCCTGGTGCTTTCAATTGCTTCCCAATTTGAATTATTGACTTTGACTTCGAAATTGGCTCCCAGACTTCTCCATGTCTTCTTTGAATCGGTCCCCAACTTTGAAATTGCATCCCATACTACAACTTCAATTGGCTCCCAACTCCAATTTCAATTGCTTCGAACTAGCTCCCAATTTCAATTCCTATGAAATCAGCTCCCAATTTCAATTCCTATGAAATCGGCTCCCAAGTGCAATTGCTTCTCAATTGCCACCCAAGTGAAATTGCTTCCCAAATTCCACTTGTAATTGGTGCCCAAGGCCAAACTAGCGCCCAACTCCATCAGATTTAATTAATTTTGGCTTCTCAAATTTTACCTTGTAAAATTGTTGATGGTGAGTTTCAAGCTTGAGCTATTTCACATAACATATCAAGCATCATCCACTTCATCCATACAACTATTGATTAAATCTCCAATCACATTTGATGTACTCCTTTCTTTCAATAGATGCTTGATCTCCAAGTCAATTTCATGCATTCTTCCAATCTTAATTTTCTTCACGAAAATTCTTCTGGGATATTTCTTTGAGTAGCATTGACGTGAATATTGTATCATTCATCTTCTTCTTCAATTTGTCATTTTCTCCTGACAAATTCTTGATTTTAGGCTTTATATCTTCTTCTTCTATTTTCATGCATCTTCCTCTGTTTTTTTCTTTTCCAATAATTTCCCGATCATGGTCTAAGACTCTACTAGACCTAAGAAATAAAATTGGGGGATCTACAAATACAAATTTGGCATATCAAAACCATTACACTTTATTCCTAACAATTTCCCCCCTTTTGATAATGCCAAAACCTATACTCAGTCATTGGCTTTAAGTCTTTGAAAAATAATCTTTTTGCTCAATTTTATTTGACAGAGTCAAGGTGAGTTTAACAATGATTTTCTAGACACAATCAAAAGAAACTTGTGAATTAAATTTTTAGACAAGCTCCTAAACGCATCTTGAATTATTTTTATTTTGATCATCATCAAATTTAAAATTTTTTAATTTTGTCGTGCGTTTGACATATTTCTTGTCTTTTAATTCACGAAAATCTAATTACATTAAACAAACAAAATTAGAGACTCAAAATAGACCATGGGAAATTATTATTGATATATTTCGAAAATATTGAGAAAAACGCAATAGAGGTTCGAAAATAGAAAATATCAGCTTAAGAGAATTTTCAGATTACCTTCTGGGATTCTTCACACCAGAGTCTTTCTTCAAAATTTCCTTGACATGTTCTCTGAGCTTGAAGAAATCATCTTTGAACTTTGCATTCTGAAATTTCTTTGTAAGCTGTCCGGCCATGTAATGTCCAAAAGCTTCTTTGATATTGTTGCCCGGAAGAACTCCGTTTTCCCACCATAAGACACATTCTTCGAAGCTTCTTTCTTCTCCAAGATTCATGCCCATATTTCCAGTGAAATCTCTTAATTCATACCACATCTCGGTTCTTTTCCTTTTGCATTCTTCTTCTTTATTCTTCTCCGAGATCCATTGGGCTTGATCGGCTGCAGGCCATTTCTTGATCATGCTTGGTAGATTTTCCTTAGTCCATATTGTTGTCTGAGTGGCAGTACCTTTAGAGCATTCGAACCAGCCACGTTGTTCAGCAACCTTCGATGTACTCGTACCAAGACTAGGATTCGCGAATTGAGCAAAACCAATCTGAGATGGTCCTTGTGAGGATTGTCCGCGGCTTCGGCCTCTACCTTGAGTGGATATTACTGGCTGTTGTTGGCTTCCAAGAATAAATTCTTGTTGCTGCAAAGCCAAGTGACTGAGAATTTCTTTCCCCCTTTTGGTGTTATCAACCAAAAATGCAAGGGTCTTACAATCTCGGTCTTGGTTTGCCTTCACAGTTTCAACACTGTTGTGCATTTCAATGGAAACGGTTTGTACATTGTCCAGCTTGTTTGTTGTAACTGCGAGTTCAACTTCAAGTTTGTTGATTCGGCTTTCTTGGTCTTGAATCGCCTTGACTTGTCGCAAGTGACGTTCATTGTGAATCTTTTCAGCTGCTTCTCGTTCCTTCTTCATGAGCTGAATCACTTCAAGTAAGCCTTTTGTTAATTCTCCTTTCAAGATCTTTCACTTTGTCAATCTGAGTCTTCAAAGTATTTTGATGCTCCATTAATTCCTTCAGATTGACTCGTACATTCGTGTATTGATGTTCTAGCTTTTGGTTTTGTTCAACCAATTTTTCTCCAATTGTTTGACAAACAACATCACTGGATTCGGCCACTTTTGCAAATAGAGATGAAAATATGCCATCATCTTGATTATTCATCTGCACAACGTTTTGAGGGGATCCGAATGGATTTCTATTCGGATCTGTGAGAACAACTGTATCAATAAGTGCATCCCTTCTTCTTCAGGTGATTCGGCTTCTTGATTGAGATCACCAATTTCTTCTTCTAAGACTTCTGTTCTCGTGTAATTGTTTGCAAATAATTCTTCATTTTCTAGAACAGGGTCCATGGTAGGCATGGTAGACTCAGTATGGTGTACTGGCAATACACTGGATAGATTCTCTATGATTTGCAG